CATCCCTCCCCTCCCCCCTGCCCCGCGACCCCAGCCGGGTCTGCTCTTCCCCCCGCGCCCCACCCCGCCCCGAACACCCACTGGACCCGCGGAGTCCAGGCGTGGTGCGAACGCTCTGTACCGGGCGTCCGGATGCTTTTACTTGGTTACCTGCTCGCTCTGCGGAGCGTAATGAATATTTATTGATGAGTTTTAAAGCATGCGGCCTCGGTGGGAAGGACGGGTAGGGCCTGCCGGCCCCTCGCGCCCGCCCTGCACCCGCGGCCTCCGGACCCCCGGGCTCAGATCGCTCCGGGCGCCACAACCCGGGCGCCGAGAGCGCTGGGCAGGCGGCGCGCCCTGGGCGCTCAGCACCCAGGCGGGGACCCGCCTCAGCGGCGGCTGAGCAGAACTCCCTTCCGGCCCTGGGCTTGCAGGTGCCCGGAATACTCAGTGTCCCGCCGTCCGAGCTTCCTGTCTGCTGGGCCCGGGACCGCTGCCGCGGGGCAGGGAAGGCCCTGAGCCCGAAGTCCAGAGCCGCCTAGAACAGAGATGTCACGCAGGCTCTCCCCATCAACCGGACCCCAGGGGCTGCGGGAGGACGGTGCCCGAGGCCTTGGGAGGGCCGGAGCTCACAGTATTCCAAACCCACGTGCTCTTGACTTGTAAGGAGCCCACATCTCGAGGTGACTGCGGCAGAAGGGAGGACCCCTGACCCCTGAGTTTCTCGGGCACCTGGAGTGACTGGCAGTGGAGGGAGGTGCCGCCCGGCCGGGCACAGGGAGGCGCAGAGGTATTTACCAAGCACCTTGTGCTTCCGCTTCATCCCCAATTACTTAGCAAGCCCCTGCCACGGGCCCACCTTTGTATCAGCCCTGAAACAGCGGGAATCCAGACAAACCGGGCCCCACCGCTGCGCTGTTCCCATTCCAGCCGACAGGCTCAACCACACTGTCATTTTATAATAAAATTTCCACGAATGAGAACTGATGTGAGGAGCGACCAAGCCGGCAACGTGGGAAGAGACGGGAATGGGAGCTGGTCTTAGATGAGGCGGTGAGAAGTCCTCTGGACAGGCACTGGTGGGGAGACCTGAGGAGCCACGTCTTGCTCTTGGGGAGGAACGCTGCAGCCATGACAAGTGAGGGGGCAGGAACAAGCTCAGGGGGCTAGAGGAAGGTGGGAAGTCATGTGGTTAAAGTTGGGGGGGGGGGGCAGGGGAGGCTCCTGAGGGCCTGTAGGCCAGGGGCATCTGGGCTTGAGCCTCGGGGAGGGGACGCCCTTGGAGGGTTTCCTGCTGCGGAGGTTTTGATTATGCTCTGAATTATTTTATCTTGGCATCACTTCAGACTGTGTCACAAAAGTGGCAAGAATAGTGTAAGGATTCCCAGATTCTCAAATGTTAGACTTTTACCAACCCCTGGAAACTGTGAGTGGGACCTTATTTGCAAATAGGGTCTCTGAGGATATAATCAACTGAAGATGAGGTCACACTGGGTAAGGGACGGGAGTGCTAAACCCAGTATGACTGGTGTCTTCATAAAAACAGAAATGGACGTGGGCCCACGGAGAGGAGGAGGCCATGTGAAGACAGAGGCAAAGATGGAGTCCGTGGCCAAGGCAAGCGCTGCCAGCACCACCAGGAGCTGGAGGGGCAGAAAGACCCTCCCCGGAGCCTTCGGAAGGAGCAAGGTCCTGCTGACACCTTGATTTCGGGCATCGAGCCTCCAGAAGCGAGAGACAGCAAATTTACGTGTTTTAAGCCATCCGTGTTTGTGGTAGTTTGTTATGGCAGCCCAAGGACCAAAAAAAGAAAAATTTAAAAAGATTTTTGACATGATTTCTGACTGTCAGAAAAGTGGCAAGAAGAGTACAAAGAATTCCCAGATGCGCTACAACCAGATTTTCCAAATGTTAGATTTTTATTACATTTGCTTTGTACTTCTCTGTCTCTGTCTGTGTCTCTCTCTACATATAATATCGATCTAAGTATCCATCATCTATTTATCTGTCATCTATCCATCTAGTTTTTCTGAATGGTTGACAGTAAGTTGCAGACAGGATGTCTGTTTATCCCTAAAGACTTCAGTGTGTATTTCCTAAAAACAGAGATGTTTTCTGTAACCACAATACAACTGTCAAAATCAAGAAGCTAAAACTGCTTTAAAGAAAATAAAGTCTTAAAAAAATAAACACACAAAAAGGTCAACATTGCTACAAACCTATGATCTAATCAACAGACCTTACTCAGACTTTGCGAATAGTCTCAACAGTGTCCTTTATAGCAAATCCACCCTCGGTGGCCGTGTTTCTCTAGTCATTCTTTATATTAAGACACTCACATTTTTGAAGTGTACGGGCGAGACATTTGTCCTTGTGGTTAGACCCAGGGGATGCGCTTTTGCTGGAAGACCACGGGAGGGATGCTGAGTG